AGAAGACAACATTCTTCCCTCCTTCCTTAGCAATTATGCTCATTTTTTTCCCTTCTCCTAATCTGGCACAAGACAGGAGTGGGAGAAATTCTTATTTCAATGCACTTTTTCTGCCAGAGGCCATACATTCACAGAGACATTAAGTTCTGTGAAACTGCCTTCCAAGGAAATGTGCACAGCATTTCAGCATGAAGTAATGTAAGAGCTTTCCCAAGTTCTGAATCCAGCAACATTAATATAATTACATTAATAACATTAATAGTTTCAGGAAATCACATAACCTATAACCTATAAAATCCTAAATGAGTCCACGTTATCTAAAAGACCACATCTCCCCGTATGCCCAGGTTTGGGGATCATTAAATAAGGCCTGTCTTTTGGTCCAACTACCCTAATAGGTGCATTTGGTGGGGACATGAGAGACAGCCTTCTCTGTCACTGATCTCAAACTACGTCCCACAGGACGCCAGGCTGACCTTATGTCTGCTGTCCTTCTGCAGGACAGCAAAGAACTTTCTATTCAGGCAGGATTTCTTTCAGTGACTGGGTCCCTAAAAGGGGGTTCTTAAAATGAGGCTGTTGTGTTGTAGGGTCTTAATACGTTTTGGATTTTTATACTGTAAGCCACCTTGGGTGCTTTTCAGGAAACAAGAGGGGTATAAATATCTTAAATAAATAAATAATTTGAGTTTTTTCTTTAACATTTTATGTACCCATGGATATTGGACCCAATTTAAACATGATATAGAGTATTTTATTTTTAATCGATGTCGAGTACTATATTTTGGAGGTGACTAGGTACAACTCAGTTGATACTTGGGAAGATTTATGTCTTTGTATGGAAAGGAGGGGGAGGAGGAGGAGGAGGAGGAGGAGGAGGAGAGAGAAGGGCTTTGTCACATTTTCTAGACAGTTCTTCACCTGCTCTGACCTGTGTAGATTTTCTTTTAACCTTAGATTGCTGTTCTTAGGGTTGTTGGTGTCATTTCTTTTCTTCTCACATTCTTCCTTTGTTCTCCAGAGATGACAAGTGCAGTCCAGACTCTTGAACTCTGCAGCTAAATTGGCTAGTACTGGGAATTCTGTCACCTTTCCTGTCTGAATGTATTTCTTTAATAAACAAAAGTTTTCTTATTTTTGAGAAAGACGTGTGCACATGATTCCTTTAAAGAAGTGTACTGATGTACTCATTCTGTGCTTCAAACGGCTGAACCCACAAATTTATGTTGCTTCTATGCCACTGTTTTACTTTCTCTTCAACACTGTTCACATGACATCACTTCAAAAACTATTTACCCATAACAACACACATAGCAGAAATAGGGACAGGTGGGAATTTTGTTCAGATTCTGTCCCTAGACTGTGTACACCTAATCCAGGCATTACTTGCATGCTAACAGTTGCACCAGTAAACATCCTATTCCAAACATGACCTTAGTCACCCAGAACTATAATTTTTAACAATATACCATCAAGTTTAAACCATTAAAATATTCTCATGATGCTGATTGCATTGTGGGCAGCTCAATAAAATTACACACATTACTTCCAGTGTGCTTAAGCATATTATATGGTGTCCAGTGTGGTGTTGCAGAAAGAGCGATGTACTAGACCTTAGGACATTTGAGTTCAAATCCCCACTGGACTATAGAAACTCATTAGGGGGTTGCACTGATAAAATGACGCCTTAAATATTTCACTTCTCTTGAAAATCCTATTACTGTATATGTCTGATGCAACTTGACAGCATATAACTCACATAAGCATATTGTAAGTCCTTGAAGGAAGAAAAATCGGAATCTTGCCAACCTAGAGAAAGAAGCAGCACTGAATTCACCTCAGAAGGGCTCAATGTGCAAGCCCTGAGGGAACATTAAAGAACAGTGGGAAGCAGATTAGGTAGCAATAAACTCCATGTTAAAGTTCAAAGTGGACTTCATCATTTTTAAAAAGCCACACACGTTTAAACTGGGCACATTGAGGGGAAAATGGCCAGGCAAGCCCATACCAGCTTCCTACTGAAAATTATCCCAAATGAGCCCACAACAGGCAAAGAGAATGCAGTTTTCATCAGGAAATTAGTGAAACTCTAATCCAGACTGAGAGCATATTATAAATCAGGGCCTAAGACTTCTTCAGAACAAGCATGGACAGCTGAATACACCAGTGCTCCTGGAAGAAAATGCCTCATCTCAAATGCCCTTTAAGGTGGTCTTTATGCAAACAGCATCTTCACGAGCAAACAATAGGAAGACAGTTAATTTTCAGCAGGAAGCTTGCTCAGTTCTTTAACCCATGTTTTGAATAAATTTTCAGGCTGAGGTTCCAGGGCTGTTATCCATAATTAAATCGATCACTTGACTACAAAGAGGGACAATTAAGTGGGTAAACTATCTGTAGAGAGGAGAACATGGGGCCAAGATTATTTAAGATCATTTAGATGGTGCTATTTCTTTGTTAAACTATGCAAGAGCCAGCTGAAATCCAGACCCTATAATGATGAGAAATAATGGGAACGTTTGGAGGGCCAACAGTTCCCCATGCCAGCAGTATAAGAACAATTCCTCCTCTTCCTCCCTTATGTTCCAAAGACTGCTACTATTCTTAACAGCCGAGCAGATTCAGCAATCCAGGCAGCAAGCAAGCAACTTGAGCACTTTTGTCCTCCAAGTAAAAACTAAATCAATCTGGAATGTATTTAAGAGCGCAATCAGAAGCTTTAAAACCATTATAGGATCAGGATTTGAACGTTCTGTTGCACAGTTTAACAAGTCAAAAAAAAAAACTGGGTCATGATGGCAGTTTTTTGTGTCAGATTGTGGCTAGATTTTAGAAATCTGTTCATTCATTTGCACTACTTTTTACAGAACATTATGACACGCTGGCATCAGTGGGAGATATTTCCACATTAGTTTTATATTCTAGCTTTGTACAGGCTGGCATAGCCCTTCAAGCACTGTTCTCCAGCTGTTTCCAAGATTTCAAGAAATCTTACACTATGCGGCTATCATTTGGACACACTGTGCCCACTCATCTGACTAAAGACATGGTCACTGGAACTCCAAAACAATACCCATTGCTGGGGCGCACAAGAAGGCTTGCCTGCCACAAGGCGGATCAGTCTTTCAGCTCTGTTTCTCTGATCATTCTCCTCCCTGCCTCAACGTGCAAAAACTATGTTCTTGTTAGGGAAGTCAGCCAGCTAATGACCAAAATGAATAATGCAGCTTTCCAACTCATGGATACATTTAAATTGAATGAAATTGATACATTTTAAAAACAAATACTTGCAAGATAAACCCACATACCCCTTCCAGGAGCTGGGGTTTCATGTTCTTGGAACTATGGCTCTAACGGATTCTCTTTGATCCTTACAAGATTAAACAAGAATTCTGTGCACATTATTGAAAAAGAGTGACACTTACTTCAGAGTTAGTATACACAGGACTGGGCAGCATAACAGGTTAGTCTTATACAACTATCCAGAAGTTACTCCCATTGAGTTTAACATGGTTCACTCCCAGTCCCACAAGAAATGAAATGGGAACTCCTGCCTTGCATCTAACTCAGGCCCATCAATAGCAACTCAGAACAAAGGCAGGCTTTTTCTTAGTAACCGGCTACCCAAGAAAAACAGCTCTGCTACATGCATGTGTTCAATGTGTCCTTAGGACAGTTTTAAACTGTTTTTAATCCACTCCTTTTTGATGTTTTGTAATAGTAATAATTTATTGAATTGGTTTTTAAAATACTGTATTGTTTTTGGTATTGCAAGAGTGATACCTTTATTGAACCACTGAAAATTCATACAAATTACAAGCTTTTGTGAATAAATCCCACTTCTTCTGGCTGGTCACCACCCCTTCATGGATAGTACAGAAAAAGTGCAGGTTAAAGTCTTCAAAAGTTGAGTCCATTGGTATGAGACAAATTCAGTGTTGGGCTGTAAAGTTTTTTAATATTCTCAGCTTCATTTGGGTCTTCCTGAGTAGAAAAGCACATTGAAAGAAAGAAAGAAAGAAAGAAAGAAAGAAAGAAAGAAAGAAAGAAAGAAAGAAAGAAAGAAAGAAAGAAAGAAAGAAAGAAAGAAAGAAAGAAAGAAAGAAAGAAAGAAAGGGAAGGGACCCTATGGATTATCCAGTCCAAAACCAGTCAAGGAGGCACAGTGGGGAATCTCTACTAACCAACTAACAGTTCAATAACAATGTGACTTCAGTGGAGCTGAAGAGAAAGAAGGAGGGCATGCAGGATCAACTCCCTGGCAGCTATCATGTTTCCCTGAAAATAAGACAGGGTCTTATATTAATTTTTGCTCCAAAAACGCATTATGGCTGATTTTCAGGGGATGTTTTATTTTTTTCACGTACAACAATCTACATGTATTCAAATGCAGTCATGTCATCTTCTTCTGGCTGCTGCACAATGCTGCCCGTGGTGGAGGGAAGGGTTTCACTTAAGTGGGGCTTATTTCTGGGGAAGGGCTTATATTATGAGCATCCTGAAAAATCATACTAGGGCTTATTTTCAGGTTAGGGCTTTTAATAGTGAGCCATTATCGTTATGAAAGACCCGTTTCTTACGTGTTGGCACCATGCACCAATCCAGCTGCCTTCATTAGGTTCTCTTTATCGGAAGGCACTGGCTATGGGGAGACTGTCACTTCCAAATTCACCAGGACCCCAAGTAAAAACAAAGGCTACAGGACTGCCCTCCCTCCCATCAGGCGGTGGCCTATTTTCCCTTTGGCTTCTTCCAGCAACACCGCGGGGATACTGGGTAGGAAAAACTCTTTGCCAACCATGGCGTTATTCACAAGAGCACAAATAATCTTTACTCCAGCAGCTGTCTACCTGTCTCTGCTACCATTTTCACGCTAATCTAGCTCCCAAATACAGTACGCCTCCTTCCCTTCCCCTTCCCCCGTTTTCTTTTAATTGGGGCCCGCCTCGTCCCTCCCGTTTATTTATTTATGAATTTAAATAATGCGCCTGGTGAGGTCACGACGACGTAAATTTTGTGAGGGGAAGAAAAAGAGAGAAGGAGCGCAACGGAATGGGAATGAAGTGACGGGCGCGAGAGTCACCGCCCCTCGACGCTCCTCGTTCTTTCTTTCGTTTTTTTCAACGCCCCCCTCCCCTCTTTTTTACCCGCGCCCCCAACGTTAACGGGTCCCCCCTCCTTTTCGCACATGCGCTCTAGCCGGCCCTTCTCTCCCAACCGGCCCACAGCGAGAGAGAGAGAGAGAGAAAACCGACGGGATAGGCAGTGCGCCGGCCATCGGGCGAGACTCCACAGTTTGGCGGCGGCGAGGAGGAGGGGGGGACGGAGTGGGGGGAGACAGACAGGCTCGCGACGGAGCGCGCGCCCGCTCGTGAGCCTCAGGCGTCGCTGCCGCGGTTGCTTGTGCGTGAAAAGGGATCGAGGCGGCGCCCGTGTGGAACCGTTTGGGCTGCGTCCAGGCGACGGCCGTAAGCGGCGTCGTGGAGGAAAACTGAGGCGTAGCGCTGTGGCGCGGGGAGCCGAAACGAGGTCTTGGGGGTCGAAGAAGAGAGAAGAGGAACCGGAGTGTTTTGAGGGGGAGAGAGGGCTCACGGTGTTCCGTGTTTGTTTTTAAACCCCACCCCACCCGAAAGTAGCCTTTTTCGGATACTGTATATTTCTGAGGGCCGCCTTTTTGCCTCTGTGTGGACCCTCTGACTCATTCAACCCGTGGACGGCGCCTCCCTCCTTGCGGCGGAGTGGGTGACTCTTCGATCTATCGCTGGGTTGTTGTTGTTGTTTTTTCTCTCTCTCTTTAAGGACGTTTTAGACCCTGAAAGGGCGACATTGGTCTTTCCTTTATTATCGTCATTATTTTAAATTCTTCAACTCCCAGACCGACAAGATGGGCTGCACGCTCAGCGCCGAGGACAAGGCGGCGGTGGAGCGGAGCAAAATGATCGACAGGAACTTGAGGGAGGATGGCGAGAAAGCGGCTCGAGAAGTCAAGCTGCTCCTCCTCGGTAAGGAGATACCCTGACGCAGAGTGGATGTCTTCGGATATCTCTTTCCTTCCTTCCCCGTGCTGCTCTATCTCGCCTCCTTCTCCCGGTTTTCTTTCTCTTGTGGTGTCCAGTGGCCAAAAAAATAACAAGCCATTGGACCGAAGTGTCTGTTGATCTACTCGCTCATGGGATTTTTTTTGCTCGTCACTTAAGCTCTTAGTTACTCTTCAGAGCCAGCAGGATTTTTAATGCCACATCCCCAAAATCACATCCTTATTCTCCACTTCCACGTTTTGATTCTTACAAAATTTTGTGGTAACGAGGTTCACTGTTTCAGTTGTACTGTACACTTACACTGAAAGTGGCAGGAGGAATCTTTCCTATGAAACACTTAATAAGGTTGGGCCAGGGGTCTTGCCTCTTAAAGTGTCTTTAAGAGATACTTCAACTTTATTAATTGAGTTTGAAATCAGTGAGAAGGGCTATTTTTTACTGTTTGCACAAGTCTGTGTGCTTAAATATATACTGAATGCCTTCATGTGATATGTCATGTGGGCCTCTGTTGTGACCACTGGTCTGTTTCTGTCGCTAACAGAAGTAGAACTAAGTACTGTAGTTGCATAGGTGAAGCATGGATTACATTGAGGCTTGGGTTTTTTGGTTTTTAGCAGTGGGATTTACTGCCAAGGAATTTGCTTAGGTTTGGACTGCATGTTTCTTGGAATAGTTGATTTCAGAATAAGAGTTTAAGATTGCACTGTCCACCTTTTAAAAACATATTCCCTTCAAAAATAGGAATATATATGAATTTAGATTAAGGAAAAGAATATATACAGTATATATGTAGTACATATGGGAAACCCATGAACATTTAATGTGTTTAGAAGTCATATTATGATGTCTAATGTGGAATAAGACACTAAGTAGGGTGTTTTTTTTTTCTTTTACCAGAAAAGTTTATATTCATCTTTCTCAACTCTATTTCATTTAACCAATGCATTAGGCTGTTTCATATGGAAGCTTGTGCCACACAACCAAGCTACCAGTGCTTTATATTTCACAGGTATCTTTTTCATAGATAGCTGTTGCTGAATTTAACATTACATGTGATAACATTATATAGTATTGTTGATTTTTGGGGTGGGGGGAGGTTGCAGCCACCATAATTTGGCGCTGTTTTGTTTTCTTGCTCAGTAAATATCTCTGTGGTGTTTATCCATGCATTACACTAAGTACCTCTTGAATATAGCATACCCTATATGTATAGAAAAAGTGCTTTGACTAATGTATTCAGAACAGCTTGACTGAATATATTACATGTTTACTTGCCGTCTTGGCTGACTGCATTGGGGCTGAAGTTACAGAGGAAGTTGCTTAATATCAAGCAGAAGCATTGACCCACCAAGCTCAAGGCTGCCTCTGCTGTCTGGCAGCAAATATCTAAGTTTTCAGAGAGAATTGTTATCAGGCATACATGCAGTTGCTATGGACTGAACCTAGCAACTTCATGGGTTTGACTATTAAAGCAATGTAAGTAAGTGTACATAGGATTATAACCTAATCTTTGTATTTACTGAGAAGAACATCACAGTCCTCTTAATCAGTATCACTCAGATGTATGACATTTACAGGCATCCCTCAAGGTAAGTCCCCCTGGATTCAGTGAAACTGGTTAGAATAAAATACTTTGAGAGCTGTAATTGAATTTTGGGTTGCCTGGTCAAGCTCCCCTCTCTGTATTGGAATCTTGCAACCACAATCACTGGCACATGATCATCCTATCTGTGGTGAAGAAAAGCCCAGCACTTCTCAAGGCAATCTGTTTCACTGCAAGTAAGTCTTGCTGTTACCTAATACTTACCTGCAATTGGCTTCCTTCACTTTCTACCCATTAATTCTAGTCCGGTCTCTGCAGCAAGAAAACAAGTCAGCACATCTATTACATGACAGGCCTTCAGATATTTGAGACAGCTGTCATATCCCTTTCCAGGCCAAACAGTTCTTTTAGCTGTTCCTCTAAGATTGTGGGTTTCAGACTTGTCACTATCATGACAGCCCTCCTTTGGAAATGCTCTAGTGGAGAGGTGTGCAGCACAGGGTTCACAGTCCATATGTGTTTGTTTACCTCTTCGTTTCAACCACTGTCCCTATCCACTGTCACAAAAATTGTAGGACAGAATATTTCTAGGTTCTGGAAAACAGAGACTGTGGTGCATAGCATGCATACTTCCATCACCCCACTTAACTTTGATGGTAAATGTGGAGATTGCTGCAGAATTTTGAATGTGGTGGAAGAATATGAGGTGGTGGTGCATCTCATCTAGGTTCATACTCTAGAATTATTCTTATATTCTGGCACCTGGAACTAGAGATAGTACTTCACATACAGTGCAAGTAGTGTAGAATAGAGTCAACCCATTACTTTCAAACATTTTTCTGTTAAGAGATACTTGCTTAGGATTGTGTTGCTTATACAGTGGTGCCTCGCTTAACGATTGCTTCGTACAACGAAAAGTTCACTTAACGATGGCTTTTTCGGAGCAATCTTGTGCTTCACTTCACGATTTTCCCTATGGGCGATTTTCGCTTAACGATTTCGGGACCATGCTTCGCTTAACGATGACAGTTTTAGGTCCCCTTGTTTCGCTTAACGTTTTTTTTACAGCCCCGTTTTTGCTATTTTTAAAATATTCTAAAATGTTTAAAAAATGTTTAAAGTGCTTGGAATCGTTAGTGCACCTAATAAAACCTTCGTTAACTTAATTTGGCTTTGTTCTGAGTCTTTTTGAATTTTTTGTGAATTTTTTTCCCCCATTGAAATAGGCTTCACTGCATTCCAATGGGTTTCGCTTAACGTTTTTTCCTATGGGGATTTTCGCTTAAGGAGGGTAATCCGTTCCAATTGGAACGGATTATCCGGTTTTCAATGCATCTCTATGGGAAATGGTGTTTCGCTTAACAATGTTTTCACATAGCGATTTTTTTGGGAACCAATTAAAATCGTTAAGCGAGGCACCACTGTACTGTATACATGTCTTGGATTTACTGTTTTAAAAGCTTTCTACTTTTCAGTTGTGAAAATAAAGTAAAAGAAAGAGAGAGAGATAGCTGTCTTGAGATGCTTATAGGAAAGACAAACCAAAAATGAAATAAATATTATAATCTGAATTTGCATATCAGTTACTACTTAAACTTTAACTTAAGGTTTATTTGTGCAGGGGGCAAAAATCTTAAACAGTTTCTTGTATTACTTGTTTTAAGGTGAGCATCTGAAATTATAGCGGATTATAGTGTGCAGTCTACAGTAATGCATCATTCTTAAAGATGGGTGTGTTTTAAGAAAGTTTTAATTGGACTGCAATGTTAATGTAATATTTTTCTGACTAATATCATAATTCTGAAGACTGATGATAAGAAGATGTAGAAATCTTTTTTTCCACAAATAATAATTTTGCCACTATTTTCCTTTTCACTGTGATAGATATAGTAGAGGGAGACTTAATTCTATTAAACGTTGTGTACATATTTAGTATTAAAAGACCAAAGATGAATGTGACAATTCATATAATACATCTATCGAGATAAATTTGAAGAAAATTGTGCATATAATTTCTGTGCATTAATAAAATTCTTTACACAAAATTCTTCAAAATACATTTTATATTTGCATATCAAGTGCATCTAGTACAAATGTAAGTGCTGGATGGTGATTTAAAATAGTCTTTAAGCATCCTCTTAGGAGTGTGTAGTCCCCCCTGCTCCCAAGTGTTGTGCAACAGGTCTGGGCAGATTTCAGGTTTGTGAGACTTATTTTGTCTCTCTAATAGATCAATTGTTAGAAGCAGCTACACAGTAATTCTTGAGTGAAGAACCAGATGAAAAAGTTGTGGCTTAGACTTAGAGACAGTTGCCTATTCCAGATTTACAGAGGCATGACCTCTATATGGAAATACAAAACTACAGCTTAAACTAATACAGACTGGACATCCTAAAGCCTTATTTAAAAGGATGGGGTAGTTATTATATTGTTGTAATTGTTAAAGACTCATGAGTGAAACTGGCTAACACAGAAGACCCTTTAGTGATTATTACTAGCAGATCTCGTTATCTACCCACTCTAGTTGTACGATAACTACATCACTCATAATATTTGGTACTATCAAATCCAGCTTAACTTTTATGAATAGTTGGGCTGTTGAATTGTTTTTCTATAGATTCTCCTCAAAATATTGGAGGGTATTAGTCTTTTATCTCATGAATAGCAGGACATTAAACTATGTATATATCAAACAGATACCACTTCAACATCACTTATCACAGAGGTAAAGAACTTGGGCATTACAGAAACTAAAATATAAATAATCATAGAATCCTAGTTTTAGTAGTTTTACGCACTTTTAAAAAACCCTGATATTTAGTTTTTAAAATACTGTAATCAATTGTATTATTGGTGCAGAATTCCATCTTTTTCTGTTGAATAGACCTATATCTAATCTTCAGCTTTCAACAAAGCAAGATGTCATAAATAGATATGTAAACTGATTTCTTGCTAACTGCATAGGTAGCTCAAATTCTGGTGGGAAAACAGTTAAAATAAAAAAATATTTTTCAACCAAGTGAAAAAAATCTTTTGTTAAATCACCCATATATACCACTGTTTTATTAAGACCTGTGGGATAGTATTTAATGTTTATAAAGTAAGTGAAATAAAGAAAGGTCACATCTGAAGACTCTTTTGATGACCAGGGTGGATTTAACTTTTTAAAAAACGGTTTTTTAAAATTTAAATTGAAACATCAGTTTTGAAATTTAAATCGTGATTAAATAAATTTGATTTTAAAAAGTAACTGATGTTTATCTACCCTGATAAGTATATGAAACAGGAATGGCATACTGTGGAAATGTGTGAGCTATAAAATGCAAACAATTATTAGAGGAAGTTCTCATGAGTTTTGAAAATTACAGGGTTTTAGTGTAAAAACCGTGGTTGTTCTGTATTGTGATGGAATGCAGGGCAGGGCAGATAGATTAGATGGTCTGTAGCAGAATTTAAAGATAATTGTTGAACCTAAGGATTGAAAACAGTGGGAGGAGGGGAAGTCTCCTGTATCAACAATAGGGAAAGAATCTAAGCAAATCATAGCAAAAGATATATTCTGGTCTCAGGTAGAATTAAGAATGTATAAAATTGAAAAGTAGCGAAAGAAAACAAAACAAAGTGTGCTGTTTATATCCTACTCCATAGTGCTTAAATAATTCTCTGGACAGTTTACAATTATGCAGGTTACACATTCCCCCCCCCCCCCCCCGGTGAGTTGGGTACTTATTTTATCAACCTCAGAGGGATGGAAGGCTGAGTGAACCTTGGGCCAGCTACCTGGGATTGAACCTTGGGTCATGAGCACAGTTTTGGTTCAGTACAGTAGTTTAACCATTATGCCGTAAATGCCACAGTTTAGCATTACAGTCTACTTTTATTTTTGATAATTCATACATCAAAATGACATTCTATAGTAAATGTTTTCATAAAGTGTTAAGCATGTTAAATCCATGGTTTGAAGTTTTTGTAACCTTGGAATCCTGCCTGACATTTGCACAAACTCGCCAACAATGGATGCAGGACAGAAGTGATCTTGTCCATTGCTTGTAACATACTAATACTATAGGAGAGAAAAGTAAGGCACACTTTTTTGCCATTGGAAGTACGAAACATCTAACTGTATACCTGCACAGTACTCTTTAGACATTCCAACCAAGTTTTAATTTTCATCCATGCCAGTGACATTGTATGTTTCTGGATCTCCATTTACGAATAACAACATTCTTATAAATGGGCAAATGCAATACTGTGATTTGATATTGGGATAGGGGCTATGCAACAGTGTCAGTTTTGGGGATATAATAAATATCGAATGTGGTGTGCTGTATGGGGACCTTCTCAGGTGTGGAAAGTAACAGCTGCACTTTGACCATGAAAGGAAGAATGAGCCATGTCTTTAGTTCCTGTCTAGTCTCGGGATTCTTTACATTTTAAGGTTACCCACCTCCCATTATGCCTCAGTGCTTCTTCCCTTGCCATGATTCTCCATAGATTCCATTCCAGGAAAACTGTCACTGCCAATGTTGATTTCTATTTTTTTCCTCTGGAAGCAGGGTAATTCTGTCTGCCTGGCTCCTAACTTATCCTGGATAGCACGAGCTGGCAGGGTGTGGAGCAAGACCCACCTAATGCCTTGTTTACTCAAAGCCCAAACCCACAGGCATACTCATTCACACACACAGTCATTCCTGAAAGTTTGGTAAAATAAATTAAGCTCTTAAAAAAATTATTAATAAACTTAAAGGCTGATACATAGCTCTGTGAAATGGCTAGCTGAATTGCGGTTAGGAGTATATATGACATGCTGATCTCTCTCTCTCTAAGCCCTCCTAAGTGCATCCAAAGAAGAATGTGGACTTTACTAGAGAGTTTAGGTGCCCCCTGCCATCTCTTTTGTTTCCAGCACTTCAGTCTGCTAGTGTTGAATATACTTTCAATTTTACCTTTTCTCATTTCAAATAACTGGCCTTCTTTGAAAGCTTCTTAACCCTCAGTAATGTCAGGTAGAACATAAAGATTCCTTGTGTGTGTTTGTGTGTCACTCTGTCCCATAGGCCAGGGGTCTCCAACCTTGGGCCTCCAGATGTTCTTGGACTTCAACTCCCAGAAATCTTGGCTAGCAGAGGTGGTGGCGAAGGCTTCTGGGAGTTGTAGTCCAAGAACATCTGGAGGCCCAAGGTTGGGGACCCCTGCCATAGGCAACCAGAGATGCTCTGTTTTGCCCTGTAGTTACCTTGGAATCACACATGTACCCTACTTTGAGCTGTTTTTGCACATTTGTCCAAGGACGGTGCATGTGATATTTCATGGCCCTAAAACTTTAATAATTTGTTAAGTTAACGTGCAGGCATTTTCATACTGTTTACTGTGTGTTAGATTAGCTTTCCCTATTAGATTATCTTGTTTTTAAAATGAATTTGGACTACATTTCTTGTGTTTGCAGATTTGTGCGTCCCAGTGGAAGTACATTTTGGAAAGAGATGAGATATATACTGTACTGGTTGTGGTTTGAAACAGGGAGCAAATGGCAATGTTTAATAGTGTTTTGCATGTTTGTTTTTTTAAGGAGCTGGTGAATCAGGAAAAAGCACAATTGTCAAACAAATGAAGTAAGTTAGTTTTAAAAATTGACAGCCTAAAGTTCATAAAGTTAAGCCATGTTAGATACTGAAGAACTGCTTTTTTTCTTGGTAGGATTATCCATGAAGCTGGTTATTCAGAAGAAGAATGTAAACAATATAAAGCAGTTGTCTATAGTAATACAATTCAGTCTATTATTGCTATCATTAGAGCAATGGGGAGATTGAAGATAGACTTTGGGGATTCCACAAGGGCTGTAAGTATTGATACATTTTCTAATGTAAGTTTTTTTAAAGTGTTGTACTTCATTTTGAAATCCATTTACATAAATTCAAGAACTTTGTTATTCATTGCATTTTCCTCCTTTTTCCACACTTTTCTTATTTTATTCTGGGCTAGGGAGAAAGGGGACACCTTGGTTCCTAGGATTAGTTTTCATATGCCAACTTTCTGGAACGTATGTGAATGTTAAATAAATAAATATACAAGCTTTTTAGTCTTTTCAGAGGGTTTGGGTAAAACTAACAGGTGCAGAAGACAAGTCTCCCCTACTAGTGCTAAGTCCAGCTTCTTAAGGGAGCTTAAGTGAAATGGTTGTTCAGTGTTTCTAGAAGAGTTATATTTTAAAGAATTTTCATTAAATGATACATTTATATATCATAGGCAAAAAATAAAAGTTCATTCTTCCATATGTATGGTTGGATATTTTAAACTCTGATTTGGAATTGTAAATGTCCTTAGGGAGAAGGAATATCATCTGAATATTGTCAATAAATAAGAAAAAAATTAAAAAAGAGAAGTCTGTGGGGAATACAGTATATGCTTCAGCAATTCTTGATTTTACTATTACATTGCTATCCCAACTTTACACTAAAAACTTTAGTACCTACGTCAGCTAATGACAACTTATGAAACAACTTATTGTCACTAACAACAAAATTAAAAACCCCCAGTATATTTGACAGTCAGTAGACGTGGTGGCGTTGCGGGCTAAACCGCAGAAGCCTGTGCTGCAGGGTCAGAAGACCAAGCAGTCGTAAGATCGAATCCACGCGACGGAGTGAGCTCCCGTCGCTTGTCCCAGCTCCCGCCAACCTAGCGGTTCGAAAGCATGCAAATGCAAGTAGATAAATAGGGACCACTTCGGTGGGAAGGTAACAGCGTTCCGTGTCTAAGTTGCACTGGCCATGTGACCACGGAAGATTGTCTTTGGACAAATGCTGGCTCTATGGCTTGGAAACGGGGATGAGCACCGCCCCCTAGAGTCGAACACGACTGGACAAAAATTGTCAAGGGGAACCTTTACCTTTACCTTTACCTTTTTTAAACATCAGAACAGTTAAAAATGCCAGTTGAAAAATATGTGTCTTTACACCCTTCCTGAAAGTTGTGAGAGTGTGAACCAGTTACACATGTGGAAGCAATACGAGACAGTGAGCCCTCTTTTGTGTCCATGTCAAGCAGGCCTCTAAGGATGATGACCCAAGACAGCCTGTCCTGTGTCCTGAATATCTTGAATCCTTATTACTTCTCATAATTGAAAAAGAAATATATCGAGAAGAGAAATAATTTTTTTAAAAAAATTGTGTAGGATTAGATGTCTCTCAAATTCTTTTAGTTAGGACTTTCATATTAGTCATTGTATCTTAGGTGAGAAACAGATATTAATAGTTGGTGACTGTATAGGGAAATTTATAACTAATTTGAATGCCTGGGTGTTACCCTGGAAATTTCTGTCATCAGGGATTATGCAGATTGGCTTGCTTTGTTTGGTAATTGTTCTTGATTCTTTTGAACCCTGATTTCACAAATATAGAAAGACTGCTTCAGTTACTTCCCTACAGCATTAATGTTTTTCAGCACTAATTGTAAGGTGTCTGTTTCTGGCCATCAAAAAGCTACTTTAGAAAGCAATATATAAGGCATGCTTTAATATTGGATTGATTTCTTTCATATAGGTTGATTTGTCATCCCCCAGGTTATATATATGATTTGCAACAGTTATGTAACAGCCATGTTGCCTTTATGGCGACATTAAAAATTGTGTAACTGCTTCTCTCACTAAATGAATGAAGTTACTTAAATTCTTCATAATTTTCTTTTTTAATAGGATGATGCACGCCAACTTTTTGTTTTAGCTGGAGCAGCAGAGGAAGGCTTCATGACAGCAGAACTTGCTGGAGTTATCAAGCGATTGTGGAAAGACAGTGGAGTTCAAGTTTGTTTCAACAGATCAAGAGAGTATCAGCTTAATGACTCAGCAGCATAGTAAGCATAAAACAAGAATTATGCCTTCTCCCACTTGCAGAAGTATTATTTCTTGCTTTGTTTATTGCACATGTATGCTGCCTTTCTCTCAAGTGGTGGGACATAAGGCAGTTATGGTATCAAAATACGTCTTGTTGAAAAAGGATGCAACATAGCAAGGTGTACAAATAAGAAACACTTGAAAGCTCTCTTTCTCTCTCTCTCAAAGAGATGTACTGTAAATGTCTTAGGAGCTGAATTGACTCGGATTAAGAAATCACTATAGATATTATATGTTGTATACTGAATTGTATGACTTACATTCTTTGCATTACACTGGGGAAAAATCCCAATAAGATTTTGGTCACAGTAATTAAAGTCCTATGCCAGAATGATGTTTGAAATCATGGGAGGCCTAAATTTGTAGTATGTGCATAAACATGTGCCCCATACAGCCACACATCAGCAAAACCTTTAAAAATTTAACATGAGGATCTGCGGGGGAGCCTGTAGAAGAGCTGGATATATTTGCAGTGGCCCCATGATTGTTTATGTGATAACAGAGACAGTGGCTTGCTCCATTACATCCAGCAGTAGATTTAGAAAAAAAACCAAGAAATCTGAAAGGGAGTTTGGAAAATTTACTAAAAAGAAACAAGTTATTAGAATGAAAGATAGGTTGGAGAAAATTACTAACAGGGATCAAATAATAGCAATATTAGGACTGGAAAGAATATCTTGGCATGATTTTATCCAAATAGAACAATGGACTAAAGAATGGGTAAATAGAAATGGTAAAGATAGAGCTCTTACAGGATTTGAAAAAAAGAGTAGTATTGAAGGAAAAAAGGAGAAGAAAATAAGACACTGAAAGGCATTACAAGTAGAATTTATAAGCTGTTAATAGAAAATGTTCTCAACTCAATATGGAAATTTGATTTGAGGGAAGAATTAAGCACTGAGCTGTGGAAGAATATATGGAATAAAAGAATATAAAAGTGCAAGGATAAAGGTATTTAATGATGAAATTAAATCTTATGTATACTAAATATTCTAAATTATGTTGGTGAGGATGTTAGGAAGTAGGTACTTGTTTTCATACATGATGGGAATTGGGATTATGAGAATATATTAAACTTTTGAAGGTTGGTCTTTAAGGAGATAAATAAAATACTAAAGTTAAATACAGAATTTCCCCCTAAGATGGCTCCTTTATCAGTACAGTGGTGCCTTGCTTAATGGGTGCCCCGTTTAACGATGAATTCGCATACCGATGAAGATTTTGCGATTGCAAAAGCGATCGCATAATGATGTTTTCAATGGGGAAAAATCGCTTTGTGATTTTTCCCTGTAAGCCCCATTTTCGCGCAGCTGATCGGCGGGGCTTCGGGATGATCACGGGGAAGCGCTCTCCCTCCCATCATCCAGAAGCCCCGCCGATCAGCTGGGCGAAAATGCTGGCTTCAGCAGCAGGATGGGGGGGGAGGGATTCCCCTCCCCATCCTCTGGAGCTGAGCGAAAATGCCGGCTTTGGGAGAAGGGAGGGGAAAGGGATTCACCTCCCCATCCTCCGGAGCTCAGAGAAAATGCTGGCTTCGGGAGAAGGGAGGGGAAAGGGATTCCCCTCCCCATCCTCCGGAGCTCAGAGAAAATGCCAGCTTCGGCTTCGGCAGGATGGGGGAGGAGGGATTCCCCTCCCCATCCTCCGGAGCTCAGAGAAAATGCCAGCTTTGGCTTCGGCAGGATGGGTGAGGAGAGATTCCCCTCCCCATCCTCCGGCGCTCAGAGAAAATGCTGGCTTCGGCTTCGGCAGGATGGGGGAGGAGGGATTCCCCTCCCCATCCTCCGGAGCTCAGAGAAAATGCCAGCTTTGGCTTCGGCAGGATGGGTGAGGAGAGATTCCCCTCCCCATCCTCCGGCGCTCAGAGAAAATGCTGGCTTCGGCTTCGGCAGGATGGGGGAGGAGGGATTCCCCTCCCCATCCTCTGGAGCTCAGCGAAAATGCCGGCTTCGTGAGGAGGGGGGGGAAGGGATTCCCCTCCCCATCCTCCGGAGCTCAGAGAAAATGCCAGCTTCGGCTTCGGCAGGATGGGGGAGGAGGGATTCCCCTCCCTATCCTCTGGAGCTCAGCGAAAATGCCAGCTTCGTGAGGAGGGGGGGAAAGGGATTCCCCTCCCTATCCTCCGGCGCTCAGAGAAAATGCTGGCTTCGGCTTCGGCAGGATGGGGGAGGAGGGATTCCCCTCCCCATCCTCCGGAGCTCAGCGAAAATGCCAGCTTCAGGAGGAGGGAGGGAGCCATCCCTTCCCCATACCTTCCCCCAGCTGACTGGTGGCGGCGGCGGAGAAGATGGGGGTGAGGGGTGGTTCAGGGAGAGCTGGGAATCAGGGCAAAGCCCGGGTGTTCCGGCGGCCCTCCTCCCGAGCCCTCGCTCGCCCGCTGCCCAAGGACGCCTGGTGTCTCCCGGGCTGGCTGGCTGGCGAGCGAGCGCTGGGTGGATGGCCCACCCCTTCCTGCCCTGGGCGGCTGCCTCTGAGCCCTCGCTCGCCTGCTGTCTAAGGACGCCCGGTGTCTCACGGGCTGGCTAGCTGGCTGGTTGGCAGTGCTTTGCCATGATCGGTTCCCTGCTTGGGGAACAGATCATGGCAAAGCAATGCTTTTTAACAGCTGACCGGCAGTTTCAAAATGGCCACCCACTGTATTCTGGACAGATTCCTCACTTAAGAGGCACGGAAAATGGCCGCCCCTATGGGCGTTCCTATGGGGTTTTTTGTTCCGTTCAGCGATGTTTCCGGAAAGCAACGTTAATCCTGGAACGGATTAACGTCGCTATGCGGGGCACCACTGTACTTGATAATGATCAATGGAGATGGTGATGAATTTCTTTTTTTAAATTTATTAACAGTGGCAGTAGCAAGGAATTGGAAGGTTAAGCATAATTTTAAATTGGCACAAAGAAGTTTGGAATATAGCAATTAATGACAAAAATAATGCATTAGAAAAAGGCATAGGAACTAAAGTACATCATTGTAGTGTCTGTGGTTTTTTTCAAGGAAAAAGTCACTCTAGAAGTTTTGAAGGGCAATGATACACTAAGATTAAAGAAAGAAATCTGACAGTAACTTGAATTATGACAAAAGTTTTAGTAGTTGAAATTTTCCTTCTTTGAAAAATATCCCCTGCCCCAATGATTGCTGAATTGACTAGTACCTGCCAACTGACCACATCAGATCATTTTAGCTAGCATACCCAATTTATGTTATAATTTACAGAACCTTTGTAGCCAGCTTCATAGATCTCAACAGAGAGCAAAAGTGACCATCACTTCTAAGTGAAGAACTTCTGGTTGATTGTTTCTGAGAGTACTGTAGTGCATGCAGTGTACTTTTAGAACCTTTTAGAATTCTTTGAAAATGCCAACAAGCATGTGGATGATGGCGAAGCAGTGGATATTGTCTATCTGGATTTTCAGAAGACATTTGACATGGTCCGTCATCAAAGGTTGCTGAGAAAACTCCACAGTCAGGGCATAAGAGGGCAGGTCCTCTTATGGATTGAGAATTGGTTGAGAACCAGGATACAGAGAGTAGATGTCAATGGGCAATTTTCACAATGGAGAGAGGTGAAAAGCGGTGTGCCCCAGGGATCTGTCCTGAACCCGTGCTTTTCAGCATGTCTATAAATTACCTGGAGACAGTGATAAGCAGTGAAGTGGCCAAGCTTGCAGATTACAGTGTTGCCTTGCAAGACAACATTAATCCATTCCACATTTAATGCCATCCAGTGAAAAGGTCATCTAGCGAGGTACGGTTTTCCATAGGAAGGCATTGAAATTTAATTAACGCGTTCCTATGGGAAAAAAAGTCCAAAACAAAAAAATAAATAAATCACTTACCTCAGAACAGCAGGAAAAAGAGCGCGAAACAGCTCAGAGACAGCACCCAGCAGGGAGCTGGCAGCCATTTCCTGCTCTTCTTCACTCCAGCCCCTCCCTGCCTTACAGCTGATCGGCGCTGGTTTTAGAAGCTTCCCCAGGTTTTCCCAGTAGGTAAACAGGCAGTGGAAACAAAACAAAAAAATAAATAAATCACTTACCTCAGAACAGCAGGAAAAAGAGCGCGAAACAGCTCAGAGACAGCACCCAGCAGGGAGCTGGCAGCCATTTCCTGCTCTTCTTCACTCCAGCCCCTCCCTGCCTTACAGCTGATCGGCGCTGGTTTTAGAAGCTTCCCCAGGTTTTCCCAGTAGGTAAACAGGCAGTGGAAATGCACTGGGCAAGCCTCTGAAACCTGCGCTTTGCCAGGGTGGAGGTGTGGGGGTGTGGCAGGGGCAGGCCCACGCCCCCCGGCAAAGCACCGCTTTCAGAAGCCTCCTGGAGCTTGTTCAGCAGTGATAATGCTTAGAGTCGTGAGGCACCAAAACCCTCGCCGGACCCAATCGTCCAGCGAGTTCTTCATCCTGCGAGGCAATTGTCTTGCGGGGCACCACTATACATGAAACTTTTCTGGGTGGTGAAGACAAGAAAGGACTGTGAAGAGCTCCAGAAGGATCTCTCCAAACTGGGAGAATGGGCAGCAAAATGGAAAATACATTTTAGTATAGGAAAATATAACGCATATTAGGGTGAAAAATCAAAACTTTACTTATCAGTTAATGGGTTCTGAGCTGTCCGTGATGGATCAGGAAAGAGATCTTGGTGTGCTGGTGGACAGCTCAATGAAAGTTTCAACCCAGTGTAGAAACTTTCATTGAAGAAGGCAGAGAAGAAGCGCAGTTCCATGCTAGGTATCATTAAAAAGAGGACTGAAAATAAAACAGCCAACATTATAATACCATTGTACAAAATGATGGTAAAGCCGCACCTGGAGTATTGCGTACAATTCTCGTCACTGCACCTCAAAAAAGACCTAGTGGAACTGGAAAAGGTGCAGAAGAGAGTGACTAAAATGATGACTGGGCTAGGGCACCTCCCTTATGAAGAAAGGCTATAGCGTTTGGGGCTCTTTAATCTAGACTGAAGGCTCCTGAGGGGGGACATGATTGAGATGTATAAAATTATGCAGGGGATGGATAAAGTGGATAGAGGGAAACTGTTTTCCCTCTCACGCAATACTAGAGCCAGGGGACATCCACTCCAGTTGAGTGCAGGAAGAGTGAGAACGGACAAAAGAAAATATTTCTTTACCCATCGTATTGTTAGTCTGTGGAACTCCTTGCCAGAGGATGTGGTGATGGCATCTGGCCTAGATGCCTTTAAAAGGGGGTTGGACAAATTCCTGGAGGAAATGTCTATTACAGGTTACAAGCCATGATGGGGATGTACAATCTCCAGCCTTAGAAGAAAGGTACCTCCAAATGCCAGATGCAGGGGAAAGGTATCAGGAGACAGGTATCTAGTTGTTTCGTGTGCTCCCAGAGGCATCTGATGGGGCCACTGCGAGATACAGGGAGCCGGACTAGATGGGCCCTTGACCTGATCCAGCAGGGCTTTTCTTATGTAATGCATCTCTAGCAATGATAGCTATTTCTTCCTTTTTAGCTGTTCCTGCGCTTAAATGATAGGCATAAAGGCAGATAGTCTTTCAGTCCTTACAAGTCCCCAAAATTCCACTGATATGTCTTATGTAAGGAAAGCTGTAATACACAGTATGCACTTAGATACATGGGCCCCATTTGATTTGCAGATGGCATGTGCCCCTTGCTTTCATAGCTCTGGATCCCTATGACTCAAATTTTTAAAACTAAAATTGGGGGAAGCAAACTCCAGGAGGCATAGTTCCCTTGAAAAATAAGACACACATCATTTACTCCTCTTATGTCAGCCAAAAAATTGGATGTGTTTATTTAGTGACCAAAAGTCAGTCAGTCTGTCTCTCTTTCAAGTAGGATAAAATCACCTATAATTACAATTTATCTAAAATCTCAGTGTTTAAGGTTAAAATAGATAAGCCTCCTATACTTTGAAATTAGACACAATGAAGTGTTTCATTATTAATTAGCTGGAAAAAGCCAGATGGAACCTAAGAAAACAAGCCACTGGGATTATTTTCTTGAGAATCTTCTTTGTTTAATCAGATTGTTAACATTGCTGTGCAACGTTGGTTACATTGACGGTTGAGAGATCTCCTTATAAAGCCATTTATTTTAATTCATTCTAGCAGTTTATTCATCCAGTGAAACAGATTTTTATCAGTTTGAATCTTGTAATATCTGTGCAATGGATACCAGCAATGCCAAGAACAGTATTCAAGAGAGAATGCTCATTTTCTCAGTATATGTTCTGTTCCTAAATTTTTAAAAATTATAATTCTAAAGGCTGTAATACTGGAAAATGGAACTTTTCCTACACATTGAAATTAATATTGGTTATATAAATAGTCATGATGCTGTCTTGAGTGCAGACTGTTTCTGCCTAATCTTGCATAAAATCAGTCTCATTTTTCTCTAAGTTTACTAATGTGCTTTATAATAATATGTGGAATTGAACTTTTAAAAGAATAGTTTTGCTTTGTAAATTAACATTTGTACCCAGTAATATGTACTATTCTACTTATGAAAACTATGGCTTATTTTTAGAATTCAGTGTGATAAAATAATTTTTCTCTAATCTAGGTCCTTGTCTATATTAGCCTAGATATAAGTTGCACACATCATAATTGGGCTTATTTTCAAGCTACATCTTGGTGTAGCATTAAATTTGATCTTTCTTGTGCATACTTTATTGTAAAATTGCATAATATAAAAGTATAATTATCTCCGTTATTTATATTTAATTGTACATTATTTATTTTATATTTTCAGTTACTTGAATGATTTGGACAGGATAGCCCACCCTCATTATATTCCAACACAGCAGGATGTCCTCAGAACTAGAGTGAAAACTACAGGAATAGTGGAAACACATTTTACTTTCAAAGATCTCCATTTTAAGTGAGTAACCACATGAAATGTGAAAATACATTTTGTTACAGTTTTCAATAGCAGTAGTAAATACACCTTACATTTTCCAGGTAAAGATACTTTGCTGATATGCATTGGAAAATCTGTCATTTAATATGAAGCATGTTAACATGTGTGAACACTTGTATTGCTTATACCAAAGTTTAACTATTTTCTAGAAGGTGCTTAACAGTTTTGATGTTCTCATTGGCAAGATCCAAGAGCGTATGCAATCCTGATGCTTAAAAACATATTAGGAAATCTAACAACAGAGTAATTCATTGTGCATATCTTTATAGGGAGCTATTTTACTATTAAACTATAACTCAGAACCTGTTATTGGCAATAGTTCTTTGTATTTGTTCTTGCTTGGAAAATTGAGACCTTATGGTCACCAGCTGTTATAAGCGAATGGAGAGCTCAAAACTATGACGAGATCTTGCTCCAGAAGAGTGCTTTTCTTTTTCTGTTAGGAAAAATGTTGACATACTTTCTTGACAACCAGTTTCTACAAACCAAGTTCTACAATCATTAATTCAGTACCCAATTCATTCTGTCTCCCGGTGTTTATCTGTTATCATTTTAGCTAATCTGTTACTGAATATCATACTTCTTGATATCACAGCTTGGTAATAACAGCTAATATTTCTGTGAAGATTCTCAGTTATCCAGGTGAGGTTATCTGGAAGTTGAGTCATGGCAACTGGACTTCTTTCTTATTAGGTTGAAATGTTTCATTACTCATCCAAGACTGAAGAGTAGCGAAACATTTCAACCTAATAAGAAAGAAGTCCAGTTACCATGACTCAGCTTCCAAACAGCTAATATTAGGTACTGCTCACACTCCTTTTTTCTGCCTTTCTTTGGATAAGTGTAGATGCGGTTCAAGATAACCATATATAACAATCAGAAAAAAAACCTTACTGTACTGTTGCAGTTCTTCATAATAATGTGATTCCAGTTACCTGTTCCCTTAATGTCTTGCTGTACCCAGATTTAAAATAACAGACTAAACTCTAATTTACTACTTTTAGTTGCCAGTGGAAAATAGCATGTAATGTCCTTAATCAGAACTAAGTACAGTGATAGTAGACATTTTAAACAAAACTGCACCTTGGCTGTAAAAAACAAAACAAAACAAATGATGAGCAGAGACAGAGAGAGTGTCAGGCAGAGCCAGGGTCAAGTAAANNNAGAAAAAGAAAAAAGAAAACGATTAAAATATATACTCTAAAAATTGCCATCAGGTTCCACAGTTGATATTATTTCAATTAAAAGCCTTCTGGAACAGGAAGGCTTTGACAAATCTCAATTGGGATGGTGTTCCATAATCTGGGGGCAGCTGCTAAAAAGGCCCTTTGTCTACAAGCCATCCCTCTTACCTTCTTGAGGGACGGTTCTTTCAAAAGGGCCCACTGGCTAGATCTTAACTGCCAGATAGGTTCATATGGAAGGAGGCGGTCCTTCAGGTATCCAGGGCCCAAACCACTTAGGTCAAAACAAGCACTTTGAATTGGGCTCGGGCAGCAACTGGTAGCCAATGTAATTTAAACAGAATTGACTTGATGTATCCTCTAGTGACCCCACCACTCACCAGCCGCTCAAATCGATTCTGGACCAGTTGCAGTTGCCAGACCGTCTTCAAAGGCAGCCCCACGTAGAGCGTGTTGCAGTAATCTATACGAGATGTTACCAGTGTGTGTGTAACTGTCATGAGACTTTGCTCATCCAGGTATGGTCGTAGCTGGTATAATTTCCGCACCTGAAGGAAGGCATCCCTGGCCACCGAGTCCACCTGGGCTTCCAGAATTAGACTGGGGTCAAGCAGCACCCCCAGGCTGCAGACCATGTCCCTTAGGGGGAGTGCAACCCCATTCAGGCCACAGAAATGGCCCTCCAGTCTGTCTGGCGAAGCACTCACTAACAGCACTTCTGCCTTGTCTGGATTGAGTTTCAGTTTATTAACCCTCATCCAGTCCATTATCAGGTCCAGACACGAGTTCAGCACAGAAACCGCCTCACCTGGATTGGTGGAAAATGAGAGGTAAAGCTGAGTATCGTCAACATGTTGCTGACTCCTCAGCCCAGACCTCCTGATGATCTCTCCCAGCAGTTCCATGTAGATGTTAAACAGCATGGGGGACAATATCAAGCCCTGAGGAACTCCATGACGTAAACGCCGTGGGACAGAACAACTGTCCCCCAGCACCACCCTCTGGACACGGTCAGCCAGAAAGGAGCAGAACCACCATAAGGCAGTGCCCCCAACTCCCAACCCAGCCTGCCTATCCAGAAGTACACCATGGTCAATGGTGTCGAAAGCCGCTGAGAGGTCCAGCAGTATCTTTTTTTTAAAGAGGTCCAGGAGTATCAACAGGGTCACACTCCCCCTGTCTCTCTCCCAGCAAAGGTCATTGTACAGGGTGACCAAGGCAGTCTCCGTACCAAAACCCTGCCTGAAACCCGATTGAAATGGATCCAGAAAATCCGTTTCATCCAGCAGCACCTGGAGTTGCCTGGCCACAACCTGTTCCAACACTTTCCCCAAATAAGGGAGGTTCACCACTGGTCGGTAGTTAACCACCAGCCTTGGGTCCAGGTTAGGCTTTTTTAGTAGTGGCCGAATTACCATTAAGGTGGTAGGGACCACTCCCTCTCTCACGGCCTCCTGGACCCAGGTGCGAACCCCCCTGGCAGATCTTCCAATTAGCCCAGATGGACAAGGGTCGAGCAGAGTGGTGGTAGAACGGACAGATCCAAGCACCCTGTCCACATCCTCAGGTCCCAACAATTGGAACTCATCCATTAATACTTTACCTAAGCACGGCACGCTAGACACAGCCTCTGATTCTGCAGTAACGGTGGGGTCTAACCCACTGTAAATCTGAGTGATTTTCCCTCACAATGAATGCCAAACTTATCACAGCGAGATGATGAGCAGTCCGGGACCTCCACTGGATTTCCTGGTTGAAGAAGATCCCGGACCACCCAAAACAGCTCTGCTGGATGACATTCTGAGGAAGCAATACGGCTGGAGAAATATTGCTGTTTCCCCAGCCGTATTGCCACAAAATAGGCACGATAATGGGCTCTAAGTCGTGTTCGATTGAACTCCCAATGGGATTTCCTCCACCTGTACTCCAGCCGTCTCTCCTCTCGCTTCATCGCCCACAGTTCAGAAGTATACCAAGGAGAGCTGTGTGCAGGGAGAGGGCACTTAGGCACAATTGTGTGAACCGCCCGGGTTATATCCCTATTCCATAGGGTGACCTGAGCTTCAACAGGAGCGCCGACCATATCAGATGGATAATCCCCCAGAGCATTCAGGAAGCCATCTGGATCCATTAGTCTCCGAGGGCGGATCATCTTAATAGATCCCCCACCCTTGCAGAGGGAAGAAGAAGCTAATAGACTAAACTTGACCAGGAAGTGGTCTGACCATGATAATGGGGTCACAACCAGCCCCTCCACATCCAAACCACCATCTTCCAGTCCCGTTGAGAAAACCAGGTCCAAGGTATGGCCCTTCTCATTTGTCAGACTGCTGACACATTGAGACAGCCTCATGGTTGTCATGGTGGCCATGAAGTCCTGAGCCGCCCCAGTCAAGGCAGCCTCGGCATGGATGTTGACGTCCCCCAGCACCAACAGCCTGGGAGTCCTGAACACCAGGTCTGAGACTACCTCCGTCAGCTCAGGCAGGGAGACTGTTGGTACGCAGCAGGGTGGGCGGTACACCAACAGAATCCCTAACCTGTCTCG